AAAAAAAAAAAAAAAAAGCAAAGAAATTCATCTAACTATGGACCTTCTGTTTGCATAATTACCATTAAAGTAGGCATTATCACCCCTATTTTGTGAACAAGGAAAGCAAGATTGCAAATAGGTTAATATGCCTCTAGTCTTAGAGCAAGTGAATAGCAGAACTAGGATGTGAACTCATTTCCATACAATTCTTATTTTACAGTAAAGTACCTCAATATAGCTTGTTCTTTTGAGCCCTCATAAAGGACTAGGGCCTTGCTCCTAGGCATTTCCTCTCCCCCCTTCTTTCTTCTGATTCCCTCCAGATCATGTTTTTTCTCAGAGTCCTCTACTTAAACCACAGACTGACCCAGTGAACGTAAGTTGAGCTCTTCTGTAATCTTGGCCTCCCTGAGCAGTTCCTCCTGGGTGAGTGGCCGCTCACAGTGGGGCCCTTTACGCCTCCGTGACTGGCCTTGCCTCTCTTGTACCCGAAGGAATGTCTGACGAGTGTGCTCAGCTGTAGATTGCCGCATGGACTTCCGACCTGGGAAGAGAACCAGGTAAGAAGAAATTTTTGAATTCATGTCCACCTACTTTACTTATTTATCTATTTATAAATTTTTGGTTTGGGAATAATTTCAAGCTCACTGGTTATGGCACAACTTTACAATAAAGTTGCAATAATGGTATAAACAACACCTATGTATCTTTTACCCACATCATCTACTGTTAACATTTTGCCCCATTTACATTCTATGTTTTTTAAACTGAATGATCTGAAAGTTGTATATTAATGACCTTTCCCCCTAAATATTTCGATGTGTATTTCTTTCTTTCTTTTTTTTTTTTGAGGCAGTCTTACTTTGTTGCCCTCGGTAGAGTGCCCTGGCATCATAGCTCACAATACCCTCAAGCTCTTGGGCTCAAATAATCCTCTTGCCTCAGCTTCCCAAGTAGCTGTGACTACAGGCAACACAACACCCAGCTATTTGGGGTTTTTTTTCCATTTAGTGCCAGGAATTTAAGATGGGACCTGAAGTAGAATCAACTGAACAATGATGTTGGTTTCAGCTGTCCGGTTCAGTGGTCCGCTGGAATGTCATAGACTAGCCAATCACAGTGTAAATGACTGTTTTCAGGCTATAGCCACTGTTGTCACTTCTAGCACAGTAGAACCAAGTTGGAGGTGATGAAAAGAATGAAGCACCACTTCTTAACATGTTCTCCCTCTGCCCTCGTGTTGGATGTGACAGAGAACACCCACCAGTCAGCCCAAAAAGACCAATATGAAGGGGCTAATCAGTCTCCAACTACAGCCAGACTTACCTCCACAGAAGTCCCTGTGGCTCTAGCCTGGACTCCTGTGTAGGAATCCAGTTCTGGTAGTGACAGCTGGAGAAGGTACTAGGACCTCCTGCTGAATGAAGGAAGTTGGATGAATGAAAATGTGTGAGCTGCAGGGGTCACTTGCAAAGGGACCAGGAGTGATAAGGAAACAACTCATTCAAGCAGCTGCTTTTGTACTCTAGTTCCCAAACCCGCCTGTTGCACAAGGGGAAGCCATCTCCCATGGGAGTGACGTTAACAGGGTGGGAAGCCATATTCTCACTATTGATTCTTTCTAGGATCCAGGGCTTTCAAGGTCACAACCACCCTCTACACTCTTTCTACTCTCACTCCTTGTACTTATTATGCTTCTTTTTCTTCTCTGCTGCCTTGCTGTCTTTTGATGTGTGCCTTGACCTCTTGCCTGTATCAGTCTGAGTCTGAGCTGTCAGAGTCAGATGACTTCCTCTCTCTCTGTTTCTTTTTCTTCTTTTCTTTTTTTCTTTTTCTAGAAGAATTGTTCATGGGGTCAGGCTTCTCAAACTCTGCTGACTTTGCTTCTTCCTCCCCTTCTTCCTCATCAGGTATCAGAGAGTATTTGGTCCCACCCGATTGCATGAAGCAGTCTTTTGCAAAGTGGCATTGGGCTACCTCCTTCATCCAGTAAAGGGTACATCCATAAGGAGAGAAAAGTGGAAATGGCAGCAGCTTCGTCTCACCTTTACAACCACACTTCTTGCAGGTAGTGTTCAGGACAGCCTTGAGGGTGATCTGCCCAGTGTAATCCTGGCAGAAATGCCTCCTCCTCTCTTCTTGCTCAATGATAACACTGTTGAGACCAAGGTCTTTCCCAGTCCCTTGGTTGACAACTTTCATGGACAGGAATACTTTTATCCTATCATTTTTCATCTCTCGGCCAATAAGCTTCACCCATACTTTGTCTCCAACATCTACTATCTCAGAGGGCTTATCCACCCGACAGGATGACATATGAGTTTGATGGACCAGACCTTGCTTCCGACAACCTGGGATTTTGACAAAGGCTCCATAGTCTGTCACCACAGCAACCTCTCCTTGGAAAATAGTGTAGAGAACAGGCACGTTTTCCATGGTCTCAGGCCTTCCTGAATTCATCTTTAATGTTCTATGGATCCTCCATTTCTCTTCTACTAAAACTAATTCAAGTGTCGCAGCATAAGCTCCAAGACACCCAGCTGCAGCATCGCGTGAAACACCAAACTCTGTCACACCCAGTTATTTTTTAGAGATAGGAGCCTTGCTCTTTTTTAGGCTGGTCTTGAACTCCTGAGCTCAAGCCATCTACCCACCTTGGCCTCCCAGAGCGTTAGGACTGCAGACATGAGCCACATACCTGAACTACAATGCGTATTTTCTAAGAATAAGGATTTTCCTTACATAACCATAGTATAGTTATCAACATGATACTTTAATTTGTCACCATATTACAATTTTGTCAATTGCCCCCCAAATCCCTACTCACTGTCAGAGCCATCATCCTGCAGTTCTAGAGGTAGCAGCACCTTTTCTTCTCGAGTCTTTTGTGAGCTACCAGCAATGGTGCTGACCTTTCGCGGTCTCAAGCTCTTGAGAGGCTCCTGAGGACAGAATGTCATTAAACAGGGAAGAGAAAGATAAAGAAGATTAGGGTCATCACAAGGGAAGGCCAGCATTGTAGGAAGTAGAACTGCAAGGATAGCTCTGAGACCAGATTAAAGGGAGAACAAGTATTAAGGAGATCCAGGCCTGTGGCTCAAAGGAGTAGGGTGCCGGCCCCATATGCCAAAGGTGGCGGGTTCAAACCCAGCCCCGGCCAAAAACTGCAAAAAAAAAGGAGACCCAGGAGAACCAGATCCCTCTACACCTTATAGGCTTTGGTGACCACTCGACGCTTCCTTCTTGGCTCTTCTGCTTCTCCATCGCTGGATGGTTCATCCCCTTCATCAATGTCAAAGTCAGAGTCTACCTCATCTTCTGTGTCTGACTGGTCCCCTTGATACTCATCATCTCCTGATTCCTGAGGACACAGGGAGATGAGGGTTGGTTGGCACTGGAATTATTCATGTCCATTCATTAGGGACAGAATCTCTATTTTCCTGGTAAGAGCTGCCCTAGCTTACCACCATCACCTCCTTCCAACATTAACTGATTGCCCTTTACTGGTAACACACTGTGTTAATACTGGGGAACAAAAAGATATGGTTTGATCTTTATGAGGCTTATAGTCTCATAAAGGCAGTATTTTATTTTATTTATTTATTTTTTTGAGACAGAGTGTTACTTTGTTGCCCTCGGTAGAGTACTGTGGCATCACAGCTCACAGTAACCTCAAACTCTTGGGCTTAAGCAATTTTCTTGCCTCAGCCTCCCAAGTAGCTAGGACTACAGGTGCTAGCCACACCTGGTGATTTTGTTGTTGTTGTTGTTTGGTTTTTTGTTATAGTTGGCATTGTTGTTTAGGAGGCCCTGGGCTAGGTTTGAATCTGCCAGCCCTGGTGTATGTGGCTGGCGCCCTAAGCTGCTGAGCTATAGGCCCCAAGCATAAAAAGATATGGTTTGGGCTTTATGAGCCTCATAGTCTCATAAAGGCACAGTTTTATTTTTATTTATTTATTTATTTATTTTATTTCGTTATCGTTTGAGATAGAGTCTCACTATGTTGCTCTCGGTAGAGTACCGTGGTATCACAGCTCGCAGCAACCTCAAATTCTTGGGCTTAAGTGATTCTCCTGCCTCAGCCTCCCAAGCAGCTAAGACTACAGGTGCCCACCACAACACCCAGCTATTTTTTGTTGCAGTTATCACTGCTGTCCAGCAGGCCCTGGCCAGGTTCAAACCCAACACCCTTAGTGTATGTGGCTGGGGCCGTAACCACTGTGGTATGGGAGCCAAGTCTATTATTCTGTTTGAGACAGTGTCTCACTTTGTCACCCTCAGTAGACTGCTGAGGGATCATAGCTCACAGCAACCTATAGGTCTTGGGCTCAATCAATCCTCTTGCCTCTGCCTCCCAAGTAGCTGGGGATACAGGCACATGCCAAAATGCCCAGCTGTTTTTAGAGACGGTGTCTTGCTCTAGCTCAGGCTGGTCTCAAACCCCTGGGCTCAGGCAATCCATTCACCTTGGCCTCCTAGAGTGCCAGGATTATAGGCAGGAACCACTACACCCAGCTTCAAGACACAATTTTAAAATGAAGTTTAAACACAACACAATATGTAAACTATTAAGTGGTCATGAAATATTGTAGGAGATCAGGGAAAGAGGCATACTTGCTATGCGCTCTTAGTATGAGAAAACCTAAACCCTGGACTTTGGCAGGGCATGGTGGTTCATGCCTGTAATTCTGGCACTCTGGGAGGCCAAGGTGGATGGACTGCCTGAACTCAGGAGTTCAAGACCTCAGCAAAAGTGTGACCCGGTCTCTACTAAAAATAAGAAAAAATAGGGGCGGCACCTATGGCTCAAAAGGGTAGGGCGCCGGCCCCATATGCCAGAGGTGGCTGGTTCAAACCCAGCCCCAGCCAAAAAAAAAAAATAGAAAAAATAGCCAGGTATTGTGGTGGGTGCATATAGTCCCAGATACTCAGGAGGCTGAGGCAAGAGGATCCCTTGAGCACAAGAGTTTGAAGTTGCTGTGAGCTATGATGATGCCGCAACACTCTACCCGAGATGACAGTGTGAGACTTTGTCTCAAAAAAACAAAACAAAGGGCACCTGTAGCTCAGTGACTAGGGTGCTTGCCCCCATATACCGAAGGTGGCAGGTTCAAATCCAGTCCCAGCCAAAACTGCAACAAAAAAATAGGCAGGTGATGTGGCAGGCGCCTACAGTCCCAGCTACTTAGGAGGCTGAGGCAAGAGAATTGCCTACGCCCAAGAGCTAGAGGTTACTGTGAGCTGTAACGCCATAGCACTCTACCGAGGGTGACAAAGTGAGAGTCTGTCTTTAAAAAAACAAACACAAAAAAACAAAATTGAGGACGGTGCCTTTGGCTCAGTGAGTAGGGTGCCTGACCCATATACTGAGGATGGTGGGTTTGAAAAATAAAACAACTCTAGACTATCATTCTTTTTTTTTTTTTTTGAAACAGAGTCTCAGTTTGTTGCCCTCAGTAGAGTGCCATGGCATCACAGGTCACAACCTCAAACTCTTGGGCTTAAGCGTTTCTCTTCCCTCAGCCTCCCAAGTAGCTGAGACTACAGGTGCCTGCCACAACACCCGACCATTTTTTGTTGCAGTTGTCATTGTTGCTCAGTTTTTTTGTTTGTTTGTTTTGTTTTTTGAGACAGAGCCTCAAGCTGTCCCCCTGGGTAGAGTGCCGTGGCATTACAGCTCACAGCAACCTCCAACTCCTGGGCTCAAGCGAGTCTCCTGCCTCCGCCTCCCAAGTAGCTGGGACCACAGGCGCCCGCCACAATGCCCGGCTATTTTTTGGTTGCAGCCATCATTGTTGTTTGGCGGGTCCGGGCTGGGGATTTGAACCCGCCACCTTAGGTGTACGTGGCTGGCGCCTTAGCCGGGTGAGCCATAGGCGCCTAGCCTGTTGCTCAGTTTTTTGTTGTAGTTGTCATTGTTGCTCAATCGAACCCCGGGCTGGGTTCGAACCCGAGTCCCTTGGTGCACGTGGCTGGCTCCGTAACCCCTGTGCTACAGGCACTGAGCCTAAACTTTCATTCTTTAGATTAGGGGTCAGGAAACTTCTTCTGTTAAAGGCCAGATTAAAACAGTGGAGCAACTTTGGCCCACAGGTTGTAGATTCAGCAATTGCTGAATCCTGCTTTAGACTCTAAAGGACCTGAGCAATAGGTTTTTGGGTTTTTTTGAGACAGAGTCTCATTATGTCACCCTAGGTAGAGTGCCATGGCATCATAGTTCACAGCAACCTCAAACTGCTGGGCTCAAGTGATTCTCCTGCCTCAGCCTCCCCAGTAGCTGGGACCACAGGCGCCCACCACAATGCCCGGATATTTTTCAAGACGAGACCTTGCTCTGGCTCAGGCTGCTCTTGAACCCATGAGCTCAGGCAATCCGCCCACTTCGACTTCCCAAGTGCTGGGATTACGGGGCTAACACCACGCCCAGCCTTCAGCCAGTTTAAAACACTGGGAGTATTTAGATAGAGAAGAGGGAAGACAGAATCATGGGCAGACAGAATAGCAGGAACAAAGGTGCAGAAGCAATGTGTACGGTATGTTTACGGAATAAGGATTTAGACCTAAGTAAAGCAAATTTATCTCTGGCAAGAAGCCTCCTTTTAGCTGACTTCCTTTGACCCCAGCACAGCCTCCTTCCAACACTGATTGCCCTGTAGAACTATAGGATCTGGGGTGGCGCCTGTGGCTCAGTGAGTAGGGTGCCAGCCCTATATACTGAGGGCAGTGGGTTTAAACCCAGCCCCAGCCATAACTGCAACAAAAAATGTCTGGGCATTGTGGCAGGTGCCTGTGGCGGGTGCCTGTAGTCCCAGCTACTTGGGAGGCTGAAGCAAGAGAATCACCTAAGCCCAAGAGCTAGAGGTTGCTATGAGCTGCAACGTGCAGTGAACTGTAACACCACAGCACTCTACCAAGGGCGATAAAGTGAGACTCTTTCTCTTAAAAAAAAAAAAAAGTATAAGATCTGAAAAAGTTGTATTGGTTTATGGAGAAACTTAAATGTAAAGCCAATAAACATGATTTTAACCTGCAGGCCAGTGATTCTCAATCCTCTCCATTTCCTTACTCATCTCAGCATTGACGATCAATTGACAGGTCAACTAAAGTTACTGAGAGAAGTATGTTCTTCCTCAGATGTTTTCGGAGAGGCAAACAGTTAAATACTACTACTATGGATAATGGAGAGCCACTGAAGATTTGGAGGAAGGGTAACAGTATGCACAAGGGTTATTTCAGAAAGCACTGGAGGTAGAGAGGCTAGAGTAGAGAACCTGAAGTACAACCTAGACCTGAAGTGATCCTCATTAGGGCTAGCATGGAAGTCACATTGGAAAGAAAACAGGAAAAAAACAATTGTGAGAGGGGTATCAACTGCACAGGGTGGTGCCTCAAACACATGGCTGTCTCTTCAACCAATGATACAAATATGTTAATCTTTGTACTTGCACACTGCCAAAGCAAACAAATAACACAGATGGTTGACACTCCAAGACAGCCAGAGTTCAATCTTGTACTGATGACCATCATTTCCTCCCAACTGCTGTTTGTGAAAGACAGACTGGGAACACATTAATCCCCTTAGTTCTAACTTGGTACTAAGCCATATTATCAGAGGGTAATAGATCAGAGGGTTGCATAGTGCCCAAACAAAATACTTTTACTAAATTATAGACTTACTATCACTGCTTTGGCTTTTATTGGGAGTCATTAATAGACATGACCAGGTAAGAAAATGTCTTTTTTTTTGAGACAGAGTCTTATTTTGTCGCCCTCGGTAAAGTACCATGGTGTCACAGCTCACAGCAACCTCAAACTCTTGGGCTTAAGCGATTCTCTTGCCTCACCCTCCGGGATAGCTGGAACTACAGGCACCTGCCACAATGTCCAGCTAGTTTTTGTTGCAGTTGCCACTGGTGTTTTACCTGGCCAGGGCTAGGTTTGAACCTGCCACCCTTGGTATATGGGGCCGGTGCCCTGCCCACTGAACCACAGGCGCCACCCAAGAGAATTTTTTTTTTTTTTTTTTGCAGAAACAGAGTCTCACTTTATCACCCTCAGTAGAATGCAAAGGCGTCACACAGTTCACAGCAACCTCCAACTCCTGGGCTTAGGCAATTCTGTTGCCTCAGCCTCCTGAGAAGCTGAGACTACAGGCACCCGCCACAACGCCCAGCTATTTTTTTGTTGAAGTTCGGCTGGGGCCAGGTTTGAACCCACCACCCTTGGTGTATGGGGCCAGCGCCCTACTCACTGAGAGACAGGCGCCACCCCAAAAGAATGTTTTTATATCATCTGCCAAACCTATTACTTTATGTAAGGAAGTAATGATAATTCTCCCTAGGATTTAATGTTCAATAACTTTGTCTCTCCTGAAGAACATGTATGCTTCTTTCTCACTAAAAAAAGAAATAGAAAGTTTGGCTGCCAGGAAGCTCATAGCTAAATTTAATATCAATTGCTATTACCATTTTAGCATAGACTCCTGGTACAATTACTTCTGGCCTGTCTCTATTTTTACTGTTCTTACTTTTTGTTTATATTGTGAGCCTCCTTAAATCCTTTTTGGAAGTACAAAGGGTACATATTAAATAACACATCATAAAATGACAAGAATAGGAAAATGAACATGGAGGAGGAATGAGAAAGTTCTATTTTAAACTACTTGGTTAGGGATGCGTAAGTAATGATTCCTAGTTAGTCATCAAGTCCTTTGGATTCTATTTCCTTAATTTCTCTTGAACGACCCTGTCCATGTTTCTTCATTGCCACTACTCCCTTCCAACTATTCTCATTACAGAGTATTTTTTCTAAAGTACAAATTTGATCATGGAACTTTGAAGATGAAATCTCCTTATTCCTCTGGACAAAGAGCAAGATTCCTTAACATGGCCCACAAGGCCTTACCAATCTCTATTCTCCTTCATGCTCTAGAGAATGACAGCAGACTTGTGGGTGCCACACTAACATCTCTAAGACTTTACAGTCTGCCCCACCCCTCCATGAACTAACCTTTATCCTCCTCCTGTTTTTCATCCAGCCAAGGCCTACTTGTTATACTGCCTGCTTTTTTTTTTTTTTTTGTAGAGACAGAGTCTGATTGTGTCGTCCTCGGTAGAGTGCCATGGTGTCACACAGCTCAAAACAATCTCCAACTCCTGGGCTTAGGTGATTCTCTTGCCTCAGCCTCCCAGTAGCTGGGACTACAGGCGCCTGCCACAATGCTCGGCTATTTTTTTGTGCTGCAGTTTGGTCGGGACCGGATTTGAACCTGCCACCCTCGGTATATGGGGCCAACGTCCTACTCACTGAGCCACAGGCACCGCCCTACTGCCTGCTTCTTAAACAGCATCCTGAAGGCCATAACATCAGCACCCTATGTTTACTTCTTGTTTTAGCCCTTATTACACAGTATTTTAACTATTAACCCAACCAGCTCCCCCACTGGGAGCTGGGGTATGGAACATGTATGGGCAGGGCAGGGCTTTTAATAGTCTGCTTTCCTAGAGCCTAACACTGATGGCATGCTATGGGTGCTCAGCACATAGTCAATAGATAGATCCAATCAATAAAAATTTAGTAAGTACGCCAAGTGTGGTGGCTCTTATCTGTAATCCCAGCACTCTGGGAGGCCTGTGGATTGCTTGAACTCAGAAGTTCAAGACCAGCCTGAGCAAAAGCAAGATCCCATCTCTACTAAAAATAGAAAAAGCTAGCTGGCATCTTGGCAGACCCAAGTCCCAGCTACTCTGGAGGCTGAGGCAAAAGGATCACTTGAACCCAAGAGTTTGAGGTTCCTGTGAGCTATGATGCCACCGCACTCTATCCAAGGCAACAATTAAGACTCTGTCTCAAATAAATTTTGCAAGTGCCATCCCACTGAATATATAATGTTGAACAAAGCAAGCCATCTCTAACTTTGTAGACTTTACAATGTAAAGGAAAGTATAAACTAGTAATCAAGCCAAATCCAATTGCAAATTGAAATTGAAATATGTACTATGAAGAAAATAAACGGGGGCGGCACCCGTGGCTCAAGGAGTAGGGTGTCAGCCACATATGCCAGAGGTAGTGGGTTCAAACCCAGCCCTGGCCAAAAACTGCAAAAAAAAAAAAAAAAGAAAAGAAAAAAAATGGGACATTTTAAAAATCGTCATGGAGAGGTTATATGAGAAAACATTTATTTACATGGACACTTGAAAGTCCCCTATTCTGGACAGTTCCTTTCTATACCTCAGGTGAGTAAGCGCCCAGTGAGCCAAAGGATACCTACCCTCAGTGACTACCACGTGCACTGCATGAGTCAGATGTCAGCAGTGCCGTGAGAGACGCAACCAGAAAAGCACAGTGAGTTCTTGCCGTACTCTGGGGTTTCTCCCGAGAGCTTCAGCTTCCCTGAACCCTCCAACCCCTCGAGGGCTCTCTCCTCTAGAAATCCACCCTATGGCTCCAACTCGCCCACCCATCTCAGTATCAGCTCCCAGAGCCTCTCCATTCCCCGCCCCCTTCCTCTTTGTTCGGGGTTTCTCGCTCCAGGACGCCGCTTCCTCTCCTCCCTTTTCCTGGGCCCAGCTCTTGCCTCTGTGAATCCCCCATAAGTCGTCTGGTAGAACTCATCTTCCTCCTCTGCCTCCAGGAGCCCAGAAAGGCGATTCCCAGCGGTCTTCCGGGGGGCCCGGCCACCAGCCAAACTCATAACGACTACAAAGACTGCGCCACTACCAACAGCCCCTAACCCAGCTCTGTTCTCCGAGCTCGGCGCTCTACACCGCTCCCTGCAGGTGGCCGCCAGCTGCGGAAGTCCGGCGTACGCAGGCAGAAGCAGCAGACTGCCGAGTTCCACCCTCTGAACCTTCTTTACTCTTCAGTGTCGTTTCCTAGCATTTGGGCTTCTGGCGTGATGAGGATGCGCACAACGTTAAGTCCATCATTGGGAGTCAACAAATTTTCTTTCATAAATTTTTCCAATCGTTTTCTATCTGCTGCCAGTAGGAACCTTACAAAGAACCCAGAGTGTGTCATTCCTGAAAAATTTTAATGGTTTTGCCTTTGTCTGCAGGACAAAATCCCAAATCTCCCGGGCAGGAAGGTACAGTATTGTGGTTAGGAACACAGCCTTTAAAAACGGCGGCGCCTGTGGCTCAGTGAGTAGGCCCCGTATATAGAGGGTGGAGGGTTTGAACCCAGCCCCGGCCAAACAGCACAACGCCTGGCGTTGTGGCAGGCGCCTGTAGTCCCAGCTACTGCGGAGGCTGAGGCAAGAGAATCGCCTAAGCCCAGGAGTTGGAGATTGAGAGACGTCAGTTTATTGCAAGCACTATTTACAATAGCCAAGATAAGATATCAGGTGTCCAAGAACAAATGAATAGATTTTAAAAACATGGTATACATACACAGTGGGATACTAGTCAACTGTTAAAAATGAACTCCTGGCTCGGTGCCTGTGGCTCAAGCGGCTAAGGCGCCAGCCACATACACCTAAGGTGGCGGGTTCAAATCCCCAGCCCAGGCCCGCCAAACAACAATGATGG